CCCCTGGCTCTGTGATGCAGGTGCCTCAGAGCAAGGCCGGGGCAGGTGAATCCCCAGGTTGCAATCGATCTGGGACCCAGAGGCAGGATGCAGTGAAGTCCAGCACCCCTTTCTATTTGTATGTGCACTTACAGTCCTACCTGAGTGGCTCCTATAAACCCTGGGGGAGGCAGTCTCGGAGCAGGCCTCCCACAGACCTGCAGTGGCACTCTAGGGCAGAAATGCATGAGGCACTATAATTACTTAATGCCAAGAAATGCAGGCTAGAAGTGTTGGTAATCCAGGCTCCCTTTGTTCTCAGCCGGGGTTGGATTCCCACCTGCTGCTTTGTTGGAGCAGCTCAGACCCCTGATCAAAACCGGGTTTGCTCTCGCCTTGAGGGCGGCGGCGGCGCGCCCTCTAGCGGTCAGTCCTGGTATCGACAGGTTGCCTGCCTTGCCAAGGCGGGTTCTGGCTTTGCGAAATAGCGTTTGGTGGGGGTTCACATCATCTTAGAACGATTCCAGAGCTCTTTAGGAGCGTGTACAACTGGGCAATTTCAGAAAGTACCATGGAGATGAGGCAGTTTGTTCAACATTTCAGAGGCCCACCTGGGGCTCCACGCTGAGGATGCAGAGCCTGCTTGGGATTCTCTCTCCCCCTCTCTGTGCTCCTCCCCTTCTGGGGCTTTCTCTCTCTCTCTCTCTCTCTCTCTCTCTCTCTCTCTCTCTCAAAATAAATAAATTAAAAAAAAAAAAAAAACAAAGATAACATTTTTCACACCGAAGGCCAGACCAGGCCCAATGTCCACTAGAAAATGTTTCCATTAGGAAAATGTTAACAGCCCGGTTTAGGGCTTTGGGCAATCCCCCTGCTAGCCAGTCCTGGACTCGTCTGTGGGTTCCCATCAGGCTCTGCGGTGACAATACTGCAGAGGAAGTTAGGGGAGGTGGGTCCTCTGTCCTTGCTTCACTTGATGGAGACCCCCCACCCCAGGATCATGGGTGAAGTAACAATTCTACCCTCAGACACGGGTGAGATGTGATGGGGTCTCAGTGGTCTATGGCAGCTCCCTTATTTTGTTTTTGAGGGAAAGGAGACCAAGAAAAGAAACTAGCTGGCTAATGGTACTTGCTCAGTGCGTGGGGTGGAACCAGACCCCAGTTCCCCAGCGTTCTGGGCACTGGCCCGTTCCTTCATTTATGTATTTATTATTTGGGTGCTCTCTGGTGGACAAGTTTTGGGCACAGAGTGATGGTGCTCTTGGCAGAGTGCGTCTTCTTTTTTTTTTTTAATTTTTTTTTTATAACGTTTTTATTTATTTTTCGGACAGAGAGAGACAGAGCATGAACGGGGGAGGGGCAGAGAGAGAGAGGGAGACACAGAATCGGAAACAGGCTCCAGGCTCTGAGCCATCAGCCCAGAGCCCGACGCGGGGCTCGAACTCACGGAGCGCGAGATCGTGACCTGGCTGAAGTCGGACGCTTAACCCACTGCGCCACCCAGGCGCCCCATCAGAGTGCGTCTTCTGAAGCATGAAGCTTTGCTGTGTTTCACGGGAGCAAAATCTAACTGTGGAGTCCATATCCTTCCTAGGCAGGCATTGACGCCAGGCCTGGAAAAGGTCCTCAGCCCCCTGGGGAGAAATGGGCTGCAGTCCCCCCTGAGTCAAGAGATGCCTGTAGTCAAGAGAGGTTCCTACAAGTCTGTCTGGTGAGTTTAGAAGAGCCTGGGGAGAGGCCCGAGGCATTACATGAAATGTTCATGGGAACTTGACTGGGGAATCGAGACAGGAACCCCTAAGTTTATTTTCCAGGCGACTCTTCAAGTTCTGTGTATTCATGAGCAGACTGGATTCGGGCTGTGAGCAGGAAATCCCAAACAAGGGAACTTGTTAAGCTATTAGTCTGGAAAAGCTTGGCACAGGTCTCCTACACCAGCACATTTGTCTTTATTATCTTCTGACATTTCCTGCCTGTAATTAATAGTCACTACTCTCGGGATGGCTGGCTCAGAGATGTGGTATAGACAACGCGTGTGAGCAGGATCCAGAGAAGAGCGAAGGGCTGTGAGTTGTAGGAATCTTCGCGGACAGAAGCTCTACCTTGCCGCAGGTGCTCAGAAATAGGTTCTTTAGAAGTAACACGGCGCAGTGAGCGTTTGCTGGGCTGGGCATGTCAGAATCCCTCTTAGGAAATGCCGACCTGGGCAATCTGCTTAACCTTCTGGCTTTCATTTGCCTTCCATCCCCCAAATGGAGCTGCTCATACGTAACTCCGTAAGGTTGTTGGTTAATCAAGTGGGATAACCTAAGGGTAAGTGTTGAGTTTAGTTCTTGCAAACTAAACTCCTATTTACATATCACCTGTTGTGATTATTACTTGAGATTAGGAGAAGGGGATGAGGCTTGTCAGGGCCTGGGAATATGTAAGTTGAGGCAGGTGCTGGGTTTGATGAGAAGGCACATGGCCTTTGGTGGGAAAGAGGCCAGTAGGTTGACTGCATTCCTGTCCCTCTGAGGATGAGATCAGTTTGGAGCATGGTTTCTGGTTCACCCTTGTCTGTGGGTCAGTGAGAGACACTCCCAGGAAGAGAAGCAGGAGGTATGCTAGGACAAATTTCTGAGACTCTTTAAGAAAAAAACAAGAGAAGGTAAAGTGGACAAGATTTTAGGAAAGTTCTTTTATCAGACCTTCACCCTTGCTGCTGGATTCATTCAACAAACTTTTATTTTTTTTAAATTTTTTTTTTCAACGTTTATTTATTTTTGGGACAGAGAGAGACAGAGCATGAACGGGGGAGGGGCAGAGAGAGAGGGAGACACAGAATCGGAAACAGGCTCTAGGCTCCGAGCCATCAGCCCAGAGCCCGACGCGGGGCTCGAACTCACGGAGCGCGAGATCGTGACCTGGCTGAAGTCGGACGCTTAACCGACTGCGCCACCCAGGCGCCCCCAACAAACTTTTATTGAGCACCTTCGACAAGCCACACATTCTTCTGAGCCCTTGAGATACTTCAAGAGCCCTCCTGCCTTCCAGAAGCTGACACATGATGTCTCAGGGTTCTCTTTTTTTGCCAACCATCTCCGGTTTATTACTTATTTCTGCCTCTGTACTTGGTACACAGCACCTGTTCCAGGGATTGGAGCAGATCTCAGCCTTTTTCTCACCAAAATGGCAGAAAAAAAGTCTGCAGGTTCCGTGTTGTGTAAGGCAGATAACATCTCTAATTCCAGGTGGAATATCCCCTAGTGATAAATGGAATAGACATGGAATTCATATAAGCCAGAGAATAAAAGAATACCCCAGCCCACAGCCCAACCCTGAATATTTACTGTATTTTTCCAAAGTGAAGTGTCTTTGGACAAATGCCAGTTTAATGGAGTTTTGGTTTCTTAGCTTTAAAACAGGAACAGTCTACCTACACCTCGCAATGTTTCCAGGAGGGTGTGTGTTTTATCCTCTATTCTTATAAAAGGGCTCTCAAGCTTCCTGATGACAGATAGGAGTAGCACATTCGGAGAAAGGAAAGGAAGCTTCAGAAAACAGAGTGGAATAATGGAGGCATGGGTCTTGGCCTCTCGGAAGAGCAGAATAGTTCTGATGCTCAGCTTGTGGCCCCGTTTTTAGTTTTGTATTTTCCAATGGAAAAAAGGAAAAAAAGCCTTTTTCTTCACCACGACTTGTGAACTTGTGCATCCAGCACCACCACCCCGTATGGAAAGTTTTTTCTCTTTGTCACAAGAAAAACAAATTGTGTGTGCGGTGAGGGGTGTTAACTAGGCTTCTGGCGGTGGTCATTTCACAACATATATAAACAAGGATTCATTGTACTGTACACCCGAAACTCGTATCACATCACGTATCAATTGTATCTCAATAAAAAAAAAAAAAGGAAGCACTTCTTATTTGGGAACGAGTGGTTGAAGGAAAGTTCTTATTAGATACTACTTGTCATGACTAAAAAAAACAAACAAAACCCACAACATGCCCACAGTGTTGCATGATTTACAAATCAGCCTGGTGCAATATCTCAGCAACAATGGGGGCCCACCCCACGACCCTGTGTCGCCTCAGCTCTGTCGTGGCGAAGAGAGGGGCCCCACATCAGTGAAGGTTAGAAGAACCATGGGCCTAGGAAGCTGAAGACGTGCATTCTAGTCTCACCTGCTCCAGTAACTGATTATTTCTCCCAGGAGTGTGTGCTTGACCAGCTCTGTGTCAGTGTCGTCATGGAGAACAGGCCCCCGGGGAAGCAGGAGGGACACTGGCATGGGTGTGAGTGACGGCCCAGACCGTAGCTGGTGAGGGCACAGCCACACACTGTGGCTTTCCTGGGTGCTCGCTTTCCCCTCCCTGTGGAGTGCAGTCCTGCCACGGAAGATCCACAGTCCCTTCCAGCTGTGAATTCATGTGGCTGTCATTTCCTTCTGGAAACCTTCCCCAGACTGCAGTGAATGCTTCCAGTTCGTATCAGAGCAAAGGTGCCCCTTTGTCTTGTGTGATAGGACCCGTATTGTGCAGGGAGGATCCAAACATCCAGAGCTGAGCCCCAGGGGGCGCACCTGCACCCATTAACAACCCACCGACGCACCAGCCCTCCACACGGACACTCATCCATGGGATTCCTGCCCTACCTTCCCTGGTCCCCTCTACTAGCCTGGAGCAGCCTTCTGCACTGGCCAGGAGACGTTTACCTGAGTTAACTTGGACCAGATAGAAGAGAACAGCAAAAAGAAAGAGGATCTTCATGTTCTGAGGTTCCCTCGGCTCTCCCACCTCTCCTGTGCAGGAAAGCAAAGCCGATGAAACAGCGGAGTGGAGGGGAGAGGACACAAAACTGGGACATTTATAGGTTTGGGGGAACAATGCTTATCAGGAATGAGCACATTTATCGGGTCTACTGAGTAAAGCTGTGGGCAGAGGGTACTGGATACTCTTCCTTTCTGCCTAAAAATAGACAGGCTTCTTGGTATTGGGAGAAGCGGGGCTTGACCAATGACCTGGTACACCGAGGGTGCCCTGGAAAGAGAATCACGAGTGGCGAGCGGTTACTAGGCAGCAGGTGCTGCGCGGGGTGACAGAGGTAGGGATGTGCGAACACGTTTCCTGCCTTTGAGAAGCTTTTGTCTGGGCGGTATGGACGCGTGAGTTGGACACACGAATGCACTCCCAGGCGTATCCCCAACAGGCACAGCCCCGTGTGCACCGAGAGACACGTACGAGAGGGTTCGGTGTAGCCTCGTCATTGCAACTGTCGACAGAAGACAACCCAAATAGTGTATTACAGCGCAGGAATAAAGCAAATACTGCATTCCCTCACAGCGACGAGCATACAACAGCCACAGATGATTACAACATGGATGTGCCTCACAAACGTGCTGAATGAAAAAAAATTAAGCCAGATACCACGTACGGTATTGTTTTAAATGGGGCAAGTCTAACTGATGTATTAAAAGTCGGGAAGTTGTCTACCCTGGGTAAAGAGGGTAGACTCTTTTCTCATTCCGTGAAGTTGTCTTGACTTGAAGAGCAAGCAGCCTAGGGGCACCCGGGGGGCTCAGTCGGTTAAGCATCCGACTCTTGATACAGGCTCCGGTCATGATCTCAAGGTTCGTGAGTTCCAGCCCCGCATTGGGCTGTGGCTGTGCGCCAACAGCACGGGGCCTGCCTGGGATTCTCTCTCTCTCTCTCTCTCTCTCTCTCTCTCAAACAAATAAACTTAAAAAAAAGAGGGGGCAGCCTAGCAGGAGACACAGGGACTCCCCCCGCTGCAGATGGCTGTACTGGCCTGTGCGGGGAGGCTGTGCCTCACCTGAGGGGAGTCTATTTATAAGGAGGATGGCATTAGAGGCGGCCCTGAAGGGCAGCTCTCCACACAGCTTTTTGTAACTGATGATGCTAAAATGTCCAGTTACCGCAGCTACTAATTCTTTTTTTCTTTTTAATGCTTTTTGGAATCCTCAACATTAAAAAAAAAGCTTTTTTTTAATGTTTATTGATTTTTGAAAGAGAGAGAGAAAGATACAGTGTGAATGGGGGAGGGGCAGAGAGAGAGGGAGTCACAGAATCCGAAGCAGGCTCCAGGCTCTGAGCTGTCGGCACAGAGCCTGACGCGGGGCTTGAACTCACCAACTACAAGACCATGACCTGAACTGAAGTCGGACGCTTAACTGACTGAGCCCCGCGCCGACCCCCCCACCCCCACCCCAGGCATCCCTGCAACCACTCATTCTGCACCTACTTGACTTAGGTCCCAGTATCACTTGGGTTTATTTCCCTTAAAATTCACTTACCAAGAAATGAAAATGAAGTCTTCCCATCTTCTCCCCCCTCCCAGGCTTTCATGACAGCCGTTACCAGTTTCTTCTCCACCCTTCCAGAGATGTTGCATGTATGCATAAACAGAGATGCGTCTATATGCCCCTTCTTGGATAAACATCGTGACAGACTATACTTTTTACTCTGCACTTGCCTTTTCTATATGATGTACCTTGGAGATTTTTTTTAACTAGGTGTGTGGAGAGTTTCCTGATTTTTTTATAACAGCTGCATGTATGATTTCTTTTAGGTGGCCTCCCACCTGACTTAAGCCATTCACCACAATATCTGAACATGCATCTTACTCAGAAAATGGATTTTGACGAGAAGTCAGGTGGTGGCCTGGGACTTCTGGACATGAGCAAGGGTACCAGTGAGCCATGCAGGTGCACAGAAGAGGTGAGGACCCGGAGGTCACTTTGGACATTCCAGAACTGGAAAGATTAAGCAAAGACAGTATAGTGGGTCCTGACAAAGGATACCCTGATTCACTGGCCTTTCTGTACCTTGTAAAAACACCTATGAAAATAGGAGTTAAGGAGGAATTATTTGGGAACTAAAAGGTCCTTTTCTCTCTTTGCCAACAAAAGGGTCACCCTATAGCTGACTGAATGAAGCAATCATGAAAGAGATACCAAGATGGGTATGTGTGAGGGTCAAACATAAATAAGAAATCTGTCAAAATCTGTAATACTTTTTCTCTGGAGCATTTGTTCTGAACACATCTCTGGATTTTCCCATTGTAAAAAAAGCACAAGCATCTCAATTCGACCCTTGAGAAGACTGGCTTCCACACTAAGAACACAGGCTAAGTTGAAGACTTCCAATGAATGATTGTAATTCTGAATCCACCTCTGTGGATGGACAAAGTGTAGCTACAAGATACAAGAATTACTGTTTAATACAGATTCTATCATGTATATATCCAAATGTATGGGTCATTTTTTAAAAGTCACCTTGGTAGGTGAAACCATGAAAAGTATGTTTTCTTTTTGCTGTTGAGGTTTACCTGATTTAGAAAAGATTTAAGGTACGTGTATGGTATATTTTTTCTAGCAGCCCGGCCAGCTTTCAAATTGCCGTGAAATTATAGTTTGGAAATTGTTTTCTGTATAGTTCGGAACTTTTATGAGCTATGTTGGACAGTTAGCTCATTTCGGAGAGAAATAAATGAATGGTATCAGAGTTTATTACCCACCTTTTCCTTTATATGTAGATCTGTTTTTTCCAAGTCACAGACTCGGATGCAACCTCTAAGGAAGAATTTCGTGAATAGCGTTGGAGAATCAGGCATGCCATTCCAACAGAAGACCAACTAGAAAATCAAGCTCATTGAACAATCTCATTAATCTGGTCATAGGCTCATTGGTTCTTATAATCACAGGGTTGAAAGGAAGTGAAGGTCAGTTTGTCCCCATACAGAAGATAATTATTCTGGCGTGCATGGTACCCACATTGTAGAAGATGGCCTTAAGGACAGATGAAAGTTGCTCATGGGTTTGAAAACATTTGAAAGTGGTAAAACATTTTTACCTATTAAAAAAAAAAACCTTGATACAATTGCACAATGATTAGACAAACCATCAAATGTAAAAATGGGCAGAGAACTCGAATAAACATTTCTCCAGAGAGGAAAGTGCGAATGTCCAACAAACACATGGAAGATGCTCACTGTCATTAATCATTAGGGAAACGCAATCTGAACCACAGAGACACTACTTCCCATGCACTAGGATGGCCACTGAAAATAATAATAACAATAATAATAATAATAATAATAATAATAATGATAACCATGGCAAAGTGGTGTTGCTTCCTGATGAGTCGTAGAGTTTTGATTTACCATTTCAGTCTATTTCACGAAACAAAGTACTAGATAGAATCCGGCCAGGAATCCCTCCCACCTGCCATCCAGGTGACTCTGAAATAGGGTTCCACTGCTCTCGAATAGTGAGTGACGCTGTTTACTCTTTGCACTGACTTATTTATCCCATGAGAGTGTAAGCTTCATTCAGGCAAGGTTTTGTGCGGTTGGTTCTTTATTTTTAGGACCTAGAATGGCGTTGTCATACAATAGAAGCTCAGTGAATTGCTGTTGAATGAATTCACACGTTTCCCAGGAGAGAGAGAATTGAAGTCAACACAAAGTGTAAGAAAAAAAACTACAAAATAAAGATATGGGAATATTATTGGGAAGACTAAGCAAGACAGCCGTTTCAGGAAAAGATTCACTGCAGGAATCAGATGACATTTCTGTCTCATATATTGAAAAAAAAAAAACAAAAAGCCTTAGCATCTACTAATTAGAAGCAAGGGTCTCTAGGGACCAAACAAGGTGAAATAGAATGGCAGGCTAAGATGAAAAAAAAAAAAAATGAATTGGAAGAGTAAGAATAGTTTATGGTGGTGACGCAAAGTTGATACTTTGGAAGTTGAATTAATGGTGTGAGAGTCAAATGTGAGTTGGCTTTCCAGGCAGAGGGGGAAAAAAGACACAGGCAGGAAAGCTATCAGAGGAGATGAGGCACCACAGAAAGGCAAATGGGCCGACCTCATGGCTATGTGATCCCTGAAAGGAAAACAGAAATTTTTCAAAGAAGAAATTATGTGGAATGGTAACTATGGGAGGTTGGAGGGAGGGAGAAATGGGGGTTAATTAATGATCAATAGGTATGAAGTTTTAGTTAAGCATGATAAATCAACTCTAGAGATCTGCTGTACAACGTTATACCTAGAGTCAACATTAATGTACTCTTAAAATTTGTTGAGAGGCATGTGAAGTGTTCTTATGACAATATAATTAAAATTTTTTTTAACTTATGTTTTTAATGTTTATTTTTGCGAGAGACAGAGCACGCAAGCAGGAGAGGGGCAGAGAGAGAGAGAGAGAGAGAGAGAGAATCCCAAGCAGGATCTGTTCTGTCAGCATGGAGCCTACATGGGGTTCAAACTCATGAACCATGAGATCATGACCTGAGCCAAAACCAAGAGTCAGACGCCTAACCGATTGAGCCACAGGCACCCCTGATTAAAAGATTTTTAAAGGCAAATTAATTTTTAGTGAGAAATGTATGGGGGAAACCAGCAGAATGAAGTGACCCTTACTGAATTATTATTGCATGCTTGCTTAGCCCTGGACTCAATGTTTTATTCCCTAACAATTGTTAGTGTCTCATTGTCAAGTTCTTTCCTGCCTCAGTACATTTACAATTGATTTTGACCATATGGTTCACCACTTTTCATAGCTTTATTTTTAAAATTAAAAAAAAATTTATTGATATTTTTATTTAAAAATATTTTAATTCGGGTATAGTTAACATATAGTGTTATAATAGTTTCGTGTATAAGTGATTCAGCAATTCCATATGTTCATCGTGATAAGTGAACTCTTAATTCCTTTGCCTATTTGTCCCATCCCCCCACCCACCTTCCCCTTCTTTTAAGAACTAATGTTAAAATACAATTTTAAAATTGTTTATGAATTAGAAAATTATCAGAATAAGCCAGTTAGTAGGGCTTACAAATTTTTCAGATGAAATGAGAATTGCAGTATTTAAATAAAATGTTTGAGGAATAAAGGAAAAAAAAACTACAAAAAAGCAGGCATCCTACAAAAGAACAAAAACAGACCTGCCTCGTGTATTTTAGTCCACACTAGATGTCAGACGGGGAAAGACACCTTTGAGATTTTAAGGGAAAAATTGTGTTGAAAGGATTTGGTTTCATGGCTGATAATCTTGCGTGGGAAAAGGAGAAAATCACCCTGAAATATTCAGGGAGTCAGAAAATACTTCATCCAAATGCTGGTCCTGAAAAGGTGATAAAATTTACGTTTGTTTCCATACTACTTTGCCTTTTTTTTTCCCCAAGAAGAATGGCAGATGTCAGTTTCTTCCTTTCAATTTGCTGTGTTCAGACCCACGTTCATATGTCCTGGGGGCCAAAGCATGGCTGTGCCCTTTAAAGGTCAAGACTCTATGTCTTTGCAATTCTGTGGATTCCAGAAGTTCCATCCCCTAGCAAAGAGCAGATAGCAGTTGGCTGATTCACCTTCCCCTCTCAAAGTTGTACTTATGTTCATACTTATTGTTTCCTTGGACCAGACAGGCTCCTTACCTTTATAGAAGCATTTCTTCCTCTCCATGTGTCTGTTTAATCATGTACTGTAATTCATGTCCTCCTTTTTATTCCTGGAGATATAAAACAGAATTTTCAGCCTCCACTATCCCAGTGGGATCATCTCATGCTCCCCTAAAAGCAATAGGGGAGTGTCT